TTGAGCCAATAACCTAGGGTATGAGCCAAAACAATGTCTGGTGTCCCGGAGCTAAGGAAAATGTTGGCACAAGGTGCTGACTCGCAGCTGTTTCAGTCTCATTTAGTGACTGGTCCCACTCTCTGCAGCCCAGTTTGTCTTTGGAAACACAGCACAGCTCGTTATTCTGCAGCCTGTGATTAAAACCACGGACAAGGGAGGTTTTCTTTATATTTTAGCTCTTTGTCTCAAAAGCTTTAGAAATCTTGACAAGTGCTGCTACGAAATGCAGATTGCTTTTTTTTAGAAAGAAGACGCATAGAGATTTCTTAATGTGTACATAATTGGGCATATTTTTATCAACAAACTAAATGCAATCATGGGAAAAGATACCTTTTCAAGATGGAAAAAAATGACTAATTTAACCATACACAATGCTGTTATAAGAAAGGAGTTCTGTGACTTCATTCACTTACCATGTGCATTTTTAGGTTGCTAACCAGAGTCTGCCAACAACCCCTTAGAGGCAGGCCTTTCTAACAGCAGAGCCCTATCCTAAGGAACTAAAGAGCTTAAAAATTAGGGAGGATGCCATATTTTGACTTAAAACAGCTGTGCCTGAATGTGAAAGGGGATAAAAGGTGAAATGAGCCTAGTCTAGACACTCTGAATTCTCCGACTGGCCAAAGGAATAGTAAGAAAGGGTTACAGTTCTTTCCATAAATGTCAAGGAAATAATTCCATTGGGGAAAGTTCATTCATTTTTTTAGGAAATTGATTTATAAAAAGCAGGAACATTATGTTCATGCCCAGAAAACCATTGGTGGTAAATCAAATAACTTCATTTAATTGCATACATTAGTTCAACTTTCCTCATATTCTAAGACACTATAAAATAAGTGACTATCTGGGATCTTTTGTATATCAGAGCAAGCAAAAAATCAGGTAACTGATAATCTTTAATAAATTAAAGGATTCAATGAAAAAACTCAAAGAATTTCATTCTCTAGTTTAATTAAGTGAATGGTAGTGAATTTGGAACTGATAGCATGGGCTAAAACTATGAAAGTATTAGTAAAGTAAATGGCCCCTAAACTTTTACTAGTATCTCATTAAATCCTCTCAATTTTCATTGGCACCTCATTAAATACTTTATTTAAATAATATTTAAATAATTTTTCCAAAACCTAAGTTTTCACCTTTGTATAAAAGTAAAACTTTTATGTACACTAAGTAACATCTTTCTAAAGTGTATAATATTATTTCCCACATTCTCAAATATACTGTAAATCAAGAATTCTGAACCTGGGAGATCACAGACCCAAGAGGAAAGAGTTCCATGAATGGTTGTGTAGGGTCCAAAAGCCCTTTGAAATTATATGCAGAATTATGTAGCCTGGCTGTGCTTCTAATCAGCTTCTCAAAGTGATCTGGAACTTGTATACGCTAGCACGTTTTTGATGAATCAGGATGATCATTATGAGCATCTACTATTGGACCACCATTCTGGAACACAGTCATGTCCTCGCGACATATTAAAATAAATAGGTCGATTTGTCCAGGCACAAAACTGACTCCAAATTGTCATTTTTAAGCATAGTCAACAATAGAGATACAGTAAAATTCACCGTGAGTAAAACATTCTCTAAGTAAGAATTTATTTCTAGACATTCCTCAAAGAATTTCTTTCCTCAACCTTTTCCGCTAAAGCTATAAGTTAGAGTCTAAATATAGGTCTCAATTGATGATTAATACATTAAAAGTTACCTATTAATTTGTACATCCACATTGCCCAGCACGCAGCATGACACACAGCAGATTCTCAATTAGCTGTGTAACGTGATTACCAAAAAGTTTCATAGTATGAGAAACTTCTCTGTTTATTCCACTCCCTGTAGTTTACAAAAAAAATGCCATAAAATTATTAATGCACATAAATATGCCTATGTAAGACCTTCAGGTTTTATTAAACTAGCGTTTCTTATTTTATTGTTGAAAATAATGAAATCTCGGAGGAAGTTTTGGTTCTCTAACTTTCTGAATCGGCTTCAACACCTAAGATTCTAAATCAACCATTTGGGTAAGTTCAGGCCAGTAACTTTGCCTCTTTCAGCCTCAGTTTCTTCATCTAGAAAATAAGGGTGTTGGGCAAGATGCTGATCACATAGTATCATTCAGGTCTTAAATTATGTAACAATGTTTTGAAACTTGGTTAAAGTAAAATTTTCAAAAATTTAAAATCATGAATCCCAAGCAAATAAAAAAGTATATGAGTTGGCAGTCAAAAGTGTATTAAAGCAAACTTTTCAAAAAAACATAAAACTGTGACTCCTAGGCTCATCTGTAAACTGAGCATATGTCAAAGATTTTATTTAAACAATTAATTAAAGAGGGAATCGCTAAAGTGGTAAAATCATTTCAGAGAGTATGTCAAAAGCTAATATTTATACTCAATGTTAGGATAAGATTGCTTCACTAGATATACAACCAGTTAATGTACAACAGGGTAATAAACTGTAAAATCATTAGGGTTATCTTTTTCACCAGACAGAAATTATCTCTACCTCTATGGTATAAAAATCTATAAGTTAAACTCTGCCCTACAACATGGTTAAATAGTCCATTCAATAAAAAAAAAGTCAAACACAATACTGTACTGAAAAAAAAACCCTCAAGAATCTCTTCTGGCTGTTGCCAAGTGTCGGATAACTTTTCTGACAAGTGGAATTATTTTTCATGAATAATAAATAGTTCTTAGTTCTTGGTAATGCCATTTAGTTTTTAGAGAAAAGTCTTGCTCATCTTTATTTGATCCACATCCAATTTCCAAAACATATTTTCAGGCTAATGCCCTACACTTGCCTCACTTTGTTCTATGCTGGGATAAGCGTTAGAATTTCCTAAGACAGTTTTTAGATGACTCTACATCTAGGATATTTTATTCATTAGCTATAATGTAAGGTATATTTAAAGGCACAGTGGAAAAAAACAAGCAATTACACAAGTTTAGAGATTATAAATATTTTGAGCATAAGTCTAAAACCTTTTATATTTTGAGAAGTCCCACAGGTACCTACCTAATATACTTAACAAATATGTATGCTCTAAAGGAATCTGTGAACATAATTGTAAGACTCACCCAAAGCAAAGAAAGCCAAAAATTATTCTCTTATAGTTTATGATATCTGTCAACTAATTTGCATACTACCTAAAACAATGCTTTATGTACACCAAGAGAAAGTATAACACCACTAATAATATCAAATATATGTCTACACAAATACAATTCAATACAATTCTTGACTATTTAATTGTTCTTTTACCATGCATAAAGGTAGCAAATATTCACCTATACTTAACTTCTAAAAAGTACCCATCTACAAAAGAAAATGAACTCATCCACAAAAGGAAAAGGATGCATTTTTAATTTCTAATATTTTATTACAGATTTTTAAGACAACTGTTATTTTCAGATCATCAACTTAAAGAAAACAAATCACTCAAGAAGAGCTTTTGTGTGTCTGCCAAGGTAAATTGTTCTATTTTAAATTTATCAAGTTATAAATAAACCACATAATGTGCTTATGAGAACCAAACCACAGCATAATCTGAGTATATTTGAAAGGCACTGAGTTCATTTCATTGTTTCAGTAAGAGAAATGAAGAACATTACTTATTGGAATTAAAAGCCTAGCCTTCCACTATCAATTATTCAAAAATAATACAGTATGAATTATTCACTGATTATAAGACAAAATACATTGTTAAAAAAGCAAAGGTGACTACAACTAACATGTGTCCCTAAACTTTTTGCTTAATATTTAGCATCTCGGAAAAAATGAAGGCATAATAAACAAAGCCAGACCCATATATGAGAGGACCAAGCTGCCCAAAAGCAGTAGCTTGAGACACGAAATTAAAGTTCACTTCTAAGAAGCCTGGAATTCCCACCACCTATATCACAACTTTATGTTTCATAAAAAGCATATTAAGATGCAAATATGCCACTTTGATAAGACAAGGTGTAAGGCAACTTGAGTTATTTCAAGTCAGTGGCTCAGAGTAGAACCTAGGTCCTCAAACTTTTGTTTGGTCAATTTTTCATTAATATAATGATTAATTAGAAGAAGAAAAAAGCATTCTTAAAAAGGCCAAATAGCCCTAGCTGGTTTGGCTCTGTGGATAGAGCGTAGGCCTTTGGACTGAAGGATCCCAGGTTCGATTCCGGTCAAGGGCACATGCCCAGGTTGTGGGCTCAATCCCCAGTGGGGGCATGCAGGAGGCAGCCGATCCATGATTCTCTATAATCATGGATGTTTCTATCTCACTCTCCCTCTCCCTTCCTTTCTGAAATCAATAAAAATATGTATTTTTTAAAAGGTCAAAAACAAAAGGCCAAATACAACAGGTAAACGTGGAGACTCAGCAGAGCCAAAGAGCACTCTGAATATGTGAGACCAGAGGAAGACACTCAGGGCTGTACAGGGAAAATCACACAGGATAATGGTCTGAAGACCAATTCGCCAAAGGGAGCCCAGCAAGTAAGGGTGCTAAATAGCAGCCCTTGAATACGAGCCTAAAACAGCTATAATTAGATGCTAAAACGATTCCATTCTCCTTGGTCTATCTTCTCCTGTACTTAACATGTTATTTTTAACATTGTGACCCTATACTTTTGTATGAATTAGAATCTATAGCTATGCTCTCATTATTATTAAAAACATTCCTAAACTTATTATTTAAAACATTCTTAAACTATATTTTAAAACTTTCAGGGAAAGGAAAAGTCAGTATGTCAGCTTTTAAATAAGGGGTGGGGTATATGGGATGGGAGGGCAATGATGATTTGTTCAAGGTCTGAAACCTCTGTATGAACATTTGTCATACATAACAACATGGGTATCTTCCAAGGATATAAGGACTCAATACATGAACACTACATGCCACACCCTCCCACCTAATTAAAAAGTTGGTAGAGAGAGTTTGGGGAGAATTCTTTAAGGCTTAATAACATCCAAATATGCTGTTTTAGTTCTAGTCATGTGCTTTCCATGAGGACAAATGACCAGAATCCAGTTTTAATTTATTTAGCTCATATTTCTTATGTTAGAATAAGCCAAACAATATATTTAAACATAGTCAACATCTGATCCTATTGCCAATATCTAGGCAATATCAATCAAATCAGCTTAAATGTAATTACACCGAACAAATTTGAAGAAATCTATTCTTTATGAAATATACAGAAATTATATATAACCCCTGTAGAAATTACAAATTTTTTAAAATACCATCTTTAAAAAAAGGGGGGGTACTCCATAAGTACAGTTTCAAGTAGATAACTTCAAATCTTAAAATTATTTAATTTTTAAGCCACTAGACGTAAATTGGACCAAAAATGAGAGGGCAAAACTACCTAACATATAAATTGTCAGATTTGGACGACTTCTACACTGACGACAAAAATTTCTAAAGGGAATGGAAAATGTGATTCTTGCTGCTCAGAATCACAGAAACAGCTAGTTATTTATAGATACAATAGAATATAAACTGGTAGTTTTGCAAACAGCTCACCATTTCTATTTAGAATTATTGCAGGCACTGATATATTTGTAGGTCATGTGCCTCGGTTTTCCAGTTTAGAGGTGCCGCAGGGTAAGTGCGGGGACTTCTGTTTTAGCAATCAGCAACAGAAATATTCAAGATTCATTCCCATTAATATTTGGTCAGACCAGTGAAAATGGCATAAAATATTTCTTAAAGGAGTCAGTTTATGCTGTTCTATTCAATAATATGACAAATGTCTTAACAAAACTTGCTGTCATAATAATTGCAACCATTTTGTAATCAGATGTTGAGACTCACATGACGATGGTAGTGAAAATATAAACAAATATTTTTAAGGAGAATATGTTTTAAAGCTTTAGAAGTCTGCTTATGGCATGCAGGCCCATCATATATACTTGGTTAAATTCATTTATGTTATGTATTTATCTACTCTATCTCATTCCTAAAAGGAGTTGAAGTTTGTGTACTTGATTTAGAAACAAAAATGCATAAGTGTATCTAGTCCTCTAGCCAGAAGACCCGTTTGTTATTCATTCATAGGCAATACTTTGGCCCCATGTGCATTGATGTAGGTGAGAAGGATTTTGGCTCTTTGTTCTATTACATCAATAAGCTTTTCAATTCCTTGTCTACCTCCTTGACTCTCCCAATAAACTTTATCAAGAAACAGAGATTGAAGGAGTTTCTGCCGTAAGTGCTGGCTCTTCAAAACAGACACTGCAGATTCAGGAAACCTGAAAATATAAAATCATATTTCATTCTTAGTGATTGTTTGGAAATATCAGTCATTGCCCAACTGCTCTTTCATCAATCTGGCATAAATCACACTATCAAATAGTACCTTGAGAATCAAAACTTTTTTATCACTGTCAAGAAAATACTTATCTTAATAATAATATATTAGAACAATATGTTTCAAGAGGAATGAATTATCTATAGCAATGAGAAGTTGACATACCAGCATTTGACTTAAGGTCATTATGTAGGCAACAAGAGGCACAAATTAAAAACGTCTCTGTTAGCCTAGCAAAAATACTTTTCTCAATCCTAAACTCCATTTCACCCATGGAAACCACTTGAATCTGTCAAATATAATAGTATTCTCATAAATGTCAATTTGTGGTTTTATGCAAGTAAATATGAGAAGCAAAATGCTGAGAAATTCAGTAAAGTTCTCTTTCCTGAGTAGAAGTTGCACGACTGAATTTAAGGTAAAATAATCCAAAATATATGTAGGAAGAAGAGAAAGAATCATTCCAAAATGCCCCATTAAATAAACAAGTGTCCTTGATTCAGGTTAGACTTCAGGAATTCTGAGGATCTGGGAGCATTTTATGAAACTGGAATACTTAATTGTTTTCAAATAAACATAGTGAAACTCAAGGTTTAGAGCCAGGGCATTCCACAATGAACCATCTCTCTGGAAAACCTTAGACGGGTCCTTATTGAATTGCCTTATCAGAGTGCTTTCTGCTCTTCATTCAGAAAGTATAAAGCCAAGGGTCTAAGACATCCATTATGTGAAGGACTTCATAAAATTTCTGGTTCAAAATTACAAGTAATGTTTGCTGAATCAAAATTATAAGTAACTAGAGGCCCAGTGCATGGATTCGTGCACTGGTAGGGTCTCTCAGCCTGACCTGCACCTTCTAGCAATCCGGGACCCCTCAGGGGATGTTGGAAACTGGCAGTCTGACATCCCCTGAGGGATGTAGTAGTGCATGAAGCGGCAGGTGGCAGGTGGCCGATGCTCCCGCTCATCCAGGCCCTGCTGCACCTGCTGCCTCCATTGCTCAGTAGCACTGCTGCAGCGGTGGGAGGGGGGAAAGACTCATGCTGCCACAGCTGCATTCGCCAGCCGTGAGCCTGCTGTCTGGTGCCCGTTGGTCAGCTGAGTGGTGCTCCCACTGTGGAAGCACACTGACCACCAGGGGTCAGCTCCTGCAGTAAGTGTCTGCCCCCTGGTGGTCAGTGCACGTCATAGCTACCGGCTGGTCATCTGATCATCCAGTCGTCTGGTTGACCGGTCGCTTAGGCTTTTATATACATAGATGTTTGGCTCCCTGAAGACATGCACAATGTAATTTAGTGACCATACTATTAATTAAGCAATTTTGCTCTATGAAGTATTAACAATCCATGATTTAGAAATTTTATGGCCCTTGAACTAATTTAGCTGTGGTAGAATGTGTAAGATAAAACTGTTAAAAAATCACGATTCTTTTCCGTGATGAATTCTTTTTGTCAAGAAAAATTTTTTAAAGTACCTGTCTTTGCATTACAATAATTAATAAGAATATCCTATATATAAATCTGGGTTAGAAAAGTCTCGTTTTTTGCTTTTCAAAGTGTGAATTACATACGATCAGTTTGGCCTCTCCCGGCTTTTATGAAAATGCTGATGAGAGCACAGTAAAAATGTTGGGACTTCATAGTAATTTTCAAATAAACTTAGCTGTTCCAGTGGCCGGGGAGAGGTTAATGGGGGGAAAAGGAGACATATGTAATACTTTAAACAATAAAGAATTTAAATTAAAAAAAGTAACTGCTCCTTAAAAACTAAAACAAGAACATATACTTGTTTGAAGAGTACAAATTGCCAGAAGTTTCAGGACTTCTAAGCACCTTTACCAAATGTCAGTGGAGCAAGTTGAGGATGGCACTCAGGGGGCATGAATGCAAGGGATTCCGGTGCTCCTGCCCTTCAGATGCTGCAGAGAGAGCAAAGGCCACCAAGCCAGATGTGCTTAAGGAGTCTGAGTAATTGGGGACTTAAATAATGCTGGTTAGATGCTCTGAGCTCCCGGAAGACATGCACTATGTAATTTAGTGGCCACAGTATTAATTAAGCACTTTTGCTCTAGGAAGTATTAATAATCCATGATTTAGAAATTCTAAGGCCCTTCAACTAATTTAGCTGTGGCAGAATGTGTAAGATAATATTGTTAAAAAATCATGGCTCTTTTCAGTGACTGACCTTTTTGTAAAGGAAAATTTAAAAAAATCTGTCTTTGCATTACATTAATTAATAGGAATATTCTATGCATAAATCTGGGTTAGCAAAGTCTTCATTTTTGCTTTTCAATGTGTGAATTACATATTCTAAGAAGATTTAACTTTGAGCTCATTGCTCTTCATACTGTATTTAAAATTCAATCTTCTTTGAACATATAAATAAAACAGTATTCATACATATATGAATGGATGGCCTGTATTCTCTGTGCACTCTTAACTCTAAGAGAAAATTTAGGGTTAGGGATTTAAGAAAACCCATAATATCAACTCAGTAATTGATGCCTTAGGTTTGTAAATTTTCTACACATAAAATGTCCTTAGTTTATACACTTAAAGAGAGAATATGCCATATATTCAATCTTCAACCCACAGAGAGATGTGAACACAGGTATTAACAGGGCAAGACATGGTAAAAACTCATGAAATTCGGGTTCATGAAACTCTCACAGCAAAAGTAAGTACTGTCTCTAGTGTTACAAATACTTACTGCCCTAACCGGTTTGGCTCAGTGGATAGAGCGCCGGCCTGCTGACTGAAAGGCCCCAGGTTCGATTCCGGTCAAGGGCATGTACCTTGGTTGCGGGCACATCCCCAGTAGGAGGTGTGCAGGAGGCAGCTGATTGATGTTTCTCTCTCATCGATGTTTCTAACTCTCTATCCCTTTCCTGTCCTCTCTGTAAAATATCAATAAAATATATATTTTTAAAAATACACAAATTAACATAAATTGTCAATGCTAGGATGAACTACTGAAATATGCTTCAAAGTATTATTTACAAAAGTAAGAGCAACAGCATGTACATAAGTTATTGCAGAAAATTATTGAACTTGGATTTGGAAGACCTGGGTTCTACCCTCAATTTTAGACTTGCTCATGTATTTCCCAGCAGTCACTTAATTTCACATAGCTGTTAAACTATTTTATTAATACATCCCCTTTATTTTCAATTCTCAAACATACCCCAATTTCTTAGTCACCTTAATTTCTGACTAAGGTGGGAAGACAATGAAGAGTGGCTACAGGTGGAGCCTGAAATCTAGCCTCAATCTCCATAGTGGGTTGAATAGCTCAGACTCTACAGCAGGGCTTTGTTTCCTTTATTTCCAATTAGAGGTAGGTTCAAGGTGCCATTTTCCATAATCTCTGTCTACTAGAAAGGTTTGCAAATCCTCAAAAACCCTCCTACCTCATTCAATAGCTGCTGTCCTTTGATACTGTGTTTTACTGGGCAGACTGGCTCTGACTTTTTGCCATGTTCATAAAAGTCACTTGAGTTTATTATGCCTTTGGACATCCTGCCATGTCAATATCCAAATGTCTGTCAGCTCCCCTGCTCCAGGGCCTAATAAGGGAGCCTCTGCCACCTGCTTACCCCTGTCCTGCCAGGTCCTATTCGAGAGATTCCTGCATGCTCCCAACCTAATCCACATGGATTTTCACAGTGAGGGCCAAGCAACATGATGGATGTGAAAGGTGGCGCGAGCTTTGTAGATTGCATTGGTTGGTGACAGTGACACCCTGGCTGCACTCTTGTTCTGTTCCCCTGGGTTTGTTTCCCTTTCCTGGGCCGCTATTTCCAGATTCCACAACCACAATTCATTCCAAGGGCTACAATCGGTCAGACATAAGGATGGAAGGTTTCTCCAAATCTTACTACTTATTTAATTTAAATCTGATGTTACTACATTATAAAACTTACTCTTTGATGCCTTTTAACAATTTGAAGTTTAGGTTATCTTCACTTCTGTCAAAGAAACCCTTGTTGTCTAGAAAGACCAAATGCCTTGGGTCATGCTTTCGCTGGATAATGTGTGCGAGAGCCACCGAATCTTGGTTGTCACATTTTGGCCTCAGTCCATCCTGTACACAGGTATCTTCCTTTCGAGGTTTGAATCCACAGCAATTTGTGTCTAGGCGATTATAAATCTGAAAATGGAAAGCGAAAACAAAATCCAAGATTCTGAGTAAAAACAAAACTTGGGAAAGTGAGCTGATTTCCAAAGAACTGGTGCTTTCTAAACAGCTGGCCTGCCAGAATCTAACAGAGCCAGGCTCATTTAATTAAAGACAACTGTCAGACTCAGCCCAGGGTTCATATCCCTCTGACTCAGCCGTGGTCATAAGCATTTCCAGCTCCTGCTAACAACTCCATAGGCAGATCATCCAAGTTAGGCGTCTCCACCCTTCACATTCAAAGTTCCCACTGACATCACATGTCGATGCACAGCCAGAGGAACCTCTAACTCTATTCACGACAGAACATAGAAACTGCTGTGCTTTGAAATATTCTGAAGACTACATCTTGTTTTCTCCCTCAGGCTGGGTTATAGAAAACCTAAGTCATCTCAGTGACTCTAAAAGTTTACTGCACCCCCGAACCTCTCTGGGCTTCAGTATTACTTAGCTAACTTGAAATAACATAGGACAAATCTATTGAAAAGATGTGACATCCAATAATGATAACTAAAAATGCTACACAATTGGACTCTAAATATGTGAACAGAATGGGCAAAATTATTGGACCTATTGGGGTTTTATTATGGAGAATAGAGCCACTGCCATATAAAAGAAGGTAAATAGAGATATTAATTAGAAAAGGGAGAGTTGTGTAATTTCTATTTCTTTGGAACAAGGAAGGGAATAATATTTATTAATCAGGATAAATTAAATCCTGGGATCAGGAATTAGATAAACTTAAAGTCAATCTCTGCTCCCACACTTGTTAGCTCTGCGGTCTTGAGCCTCAGATGGGTTAAATAATCTAGTCTGGATAAAATATTAGTTAGTAGCAAAGTTGAGATTTAGACACAGTTGTGTTTGTCTCCAAAATTCCATGATTTTTCCCCAGTATGTCATGCTGAATAGTTTAAGGCTAGTCAAAGACTGTTCATATACTCATGATTCAAAAGATGGCTAGAGACAGACTGTCACTTTTATTCTTTTTGGCATTAAGTTCCCATCCTTTCTCTCCTGTGTTTTTGCATTTCCTGTAGGGCTGGCCACTTTAGGAGGCCAGTTGCTGAGAAATGAATGCAGCAAGACTAGTACTAAAATTTAGCCTACTTTGAAGTGATCATTCGTGCATTCATCCAACAAAAGTTTACTAAATATCTTCTACCATCAGCAGGCTAAGCACTAAGGCAAATGCTGGCCATGGCCAGCACCTCCCACCACCACTGCTTCCAAAGGAAATGGTCATTTACTTTTGGCTCACTTCCACAGCAAACTTTAAGAACTGGGCAAATGGCCTCCCTCTCTATTTTCTGTGTGTAAGTGGGCTTTGTATCAAATAACATACTTTCAGAAGCAGACATGAGAGAAGTCAGCCTGACAAAATTTTCTATGAAGTTTATATCAAACCAGTCACATGGGGTAGAGATGGTCAGTGAGCCACAACACATTTGGACCACTCAGAGGGCACACTGCTGGTCTAGAAGCAATCTATCAGTGAGGGAGGCCTCTGTCAGGACTGGTTCCAGGCAGCTGATCCATTGGGGGCCATGGTCTAACCAATGGTTTATCCGAAAGGTCACAAGCCTGACTCTGAATAGGAAGTTCCCACTGGTTAAAGCACATTTGTTTGACATGAAGATAGGAGAGTTTCCCAGCCATGCAAATCACTGAAAGTTAAAAGAAAAAAGCATAAACTAGAAACCATTAGAACTGATTGAGCCCTTTCGACTCCATTTCATTCATTTTATGTAGTACCTTGACTGCCTTTGAATATAAGAAAAACCAAATGATATAAAGAGATTGCATTTGTTTTTGTTCTTTAATTCTTTATTGTTTAAAGTATTACATATGTCTCCTTTTTCCCCCATTGACCTCTCCCCGCTTGTTCCCACCCCCCCAACACATGCCCTCCCTGCCCCCCCCCCCACCGTCTGTGTCCATCGGTTCTGCTTATATGCATGCACACAAGTCCTTAGGTTGATCTCTCATTTGAATGTAAATTAAGATCAGGGGGTCAGGGAGAACATGAAAAACAACTCTTCCAGTAGTTGCTTCTCATCCATTCTCTCTTTTTAAATATGCATTAGTTAATAATTCTCAAAGAATTTCTAGACCATTTTTCATCATTTTCATATGTTTATATCCAGTTATAATGACAATACTAAACTGGATTAGTGGGGGAAAATACTAAATCCTATTTAATTTTGACTATCGCAGCATCAAGGTCCATTATGTTGGATATACATGTTTAGAACTTAATCCTGAAGGACAAATCTATCAACCACTTTCTAAATACTGCTCTAAACCCTAAACTCATTTTCCATTATTAATTTCATAGTAGTGGGGAAAGGCCTGACACATATATAGCCACAGTTCTGCTGTTTCTCCAAACAGCCATGCGAATCGCATACATTAATGTTAAATAATAAGCACATTAGTGTTTAGGCCCTAACTCTCAGCACTTCTGTAAATATTATACTTTTTATTTTTAAACTACATAAAAAGCATTAAAAATTAGAGGTGGAAAAGACCAACTTAGGTCATATTGTCATTGCCTTCTCAACATCACATTGTTTCCTGCAGGGTATTTTTAAAGTGCTTCATCTGATCTAATTTTGAATCACTCAACAATCTGTGATGATTTTGCCACTTCCCTGACAGACTGTTGTGCCATTTAAGTCTAACAGACCTTGTAATTGAAAAAGGATGTGTGTGTTCAAATCAACTTCTCTTCCAGAAAATGTTTGCCACTCCTTGAATCAGGTCTACCCATGTACTTGGTGGGTATGTTCACATGTATTGACTGTGTGTGTGTGTGTGTGAGTGTGTGTGTGAGTGTGTGTGTGTGAGTGTGTGTGTGAGTGTGTGTGTGTGTGTGTGAGTGTGTGTGTGAGTGAGTGTGTGTGTGTGTGTGAGTGTGTGTGTGTGTGTGTGTGTGTGTACACTTAGAAATATAGCATTGAATTCAAATCTGAGATTTACTTTGTTTTTCTCATCTTCCAACTATAGTGAATTATGTCTTTGCATTATTGCCCTTGTCTAGCAAGGACTTAAATAGCTCTTAAATCTTGTTCCCCAGCTCTTCTCGGTATTTTGTTTATAGTCTTCCTTTTGAATTCATATTCAATATATCAAGAATAATTTGACCACAAAACCATAATCCACTCCCTAAAATTCAATGCCATTTTCCTTGGTATTTAATTTAGTTACATACTGGATATATTTCTGCTTTCTTTTAAGAGAGCTTAGCTATTTTATAAAACATACTCTAGATAGCCATGAATCTATAACACACTTTTAACACACTTGTTTTAATAATACACTTTTAATACACTTGTGAACACATTAAAACAATCACTTCATTTACAGCATGATTAGCACTATAGTTCACATCTATGTGTCTATATTCTTAGATAATTACCCAACAAAGAAGATTATTTGAGGGTAAATTTTCTCAGTGAAGTGATTGAGAATGTCGAGCATCATTATTGCAGTTTGTTCAAATTTACATCTTCTCACTCTTTAAGACAAGGAAAATCTTTTGCAAAATCGATCTGCCGAATCTGAAAATTACTGCCAACCATCATTTTCCATAAAATTACTCTTTTAGGAAAATATATCTTTTCAATGTTTACCTAACTAAAATTATACTCAGAAAAATCCAGGTATGCCAGCCAAAGTTTTTGTTGCTGGGATATTTTTAGGTACATTGCCTTCTTCTAAAGTTTCTTTTTAATTCCATTTTCCGTTGGTAGTGTTAGTTTTGCCTGCAGGGGAAAGTATCTTACCAGTGACTTATGTTATGCTCACAATATAACATAAATACGGATGCCTCTGCTGCACTGACCCGCTCTCCAAAGCCCCTTAGAAATCTACAGGCTTCCAATGACTTTCCACCCTTCTGCACACCACCCATTCTAGCTGTGTCTTCAAAGAGTGGGTCTATCAAAGCAATTGTGGTATGGATCTTTGTATCGCATTTTGAATTAACACAGTACAAGACTGCCAACGAGAGTAAGAGGAACATGAAGGCAGGTAGTCAGAGCAAAGGTGAATAAGAGTATTTTATAAAACTCTTATCATAAGTAAAAGCTATACGGAAAAGCTAAAAAAGCTGATGTGTCTACAAGTTTCACTCTCATTTCCTCATGTATAGTTGGAAGAAAGGTAATAGGCAAGGTAGCAGGGCATCAGGTGAAAATGTTAAAAGAGTGAAAGCGGAAGGGAACCAAGGCCAAATGTAATTGGAAGCCGGACAGAGTTAAAGGAAGATGTTCTTCTTAATATAGCCTTTATCCAAATGTTTTTCCAAATGTAGTTTAATTATTTGAGTTAAACTACATAATCCTGTGTATTTTTCTACCTCTGTTTTTCTACACTTCTTTAAGGGTCTGAGTGACAGTGAGTGAGTGAGTGAGTGTGGAGCGGGGGTGTTTTCTGTTTGGTAAGTTAGTATCTTAGGATTCTCACCATCTCTATTTGTTTTTGGCACTTAAAAACTGCATCTTTACAAAAAAATGCATTTGTACAGAGAAAGTTTAAATTATCCAATAAAACATATAATGAATGGAGTTTAGCAGTTCACCATAGCAACTCATCCAATGCCTGTTACACAGTAGGCCCTTGATAAATGTTTATTATTGAAAGAACCCTGCTGAAAGCTTATATTCACTTTGTATTTGGCTCTTTACAAAGCTCCTCCAAAACAGTGTCTTCTACTGGAAAGAATCAAATAAACTGAGTAATGTTTACATGGGGTTTTTAAAGTAGCATCTAGTGCAGTGGTTCTCAACCTTGGCTGCACATTAGAATCACCTGGGAATCTTTTTAAAATCCTGATTTCTGGGCCTCATCCTCCGGAAATTCTGTTTCTTTGTTACTAACGTTATGGCCTTACCCCATAACAAAGAAACAGAATTTCTGGAGGATGAGGCCCAGAAATCAGGATTTTAAAAAGATTCCCAGGTGATTCT